AGAGGTCATGGTTTAACTTCAACATTATGGGTTAGAGCATTTGAGTTTTTATGTCTCTTTGTTTCAATACTGCCGCACTAGATTCTTTTGCATTCCTATAAGTAATCCACAAGGGTAGAATACCCTAGAACTGCACATTATTCTGCTTCTTGCTGGCATTTTTGTAAGACTCCTGGTTAAAAAATAACAGCAGAATTTCAGTTTTTTGGGAGTTTTGATCTATTCTTTCAAAATCTGTTTTCATTCCAGATTGAAATACAACCAGAGAAAAGGCATACAAACACACAGAGAGGTGTGTGTGTGTGTGCGCATACACAATCTTGGAACACCCCGTTAAGTGAAATTTCAACAAAGGGCTGAGTTTTCTTACTGAAAGATTTTATATTGATAAAATCAAGATGGTTCCTTTAAATGTCAGTATAATACGAAGTAAAAAGGCTTGCGATTCAAAGTTTTTTATCTGAAATGAAAGACTTTGCATATGCTCTTAATTTCACTCCCCTCCTCAATGGCATTTCAGTGAAATCATTATGTTTCTGCAAAGTACCTACATCTGAATGAAATGGCAACATTCCATGAGAAAATTTACATCCAGCTGTTAGAGGCTTTCTTTCACTGTTTGTTTAATTGTGAACTCATTTTATTCACATCATGACATTTATAGATAGCTTATCTGTCTGGCATCTTAATTAGCAGATTACTGATCTAAGACTTCAACCTTTCTGGTTACTGATAGGCTGTGTTTTCTATCACTTCATTTAGTCTTTTCCTTGGTATATGCTATGGTTTTCATATATTCTATGTCTTCATTAAGCACAGGCTCTTTAATCATATCTGTTTGAATACTAAGATTATGGCTAAGGTGGAAGAGAAAATCCGAACAGGTTTGGGGTGTATCATGCCTTAAATGTGCAAAGAATCAGTTTATAACAAGGATCAGATAACTTGGAACTATGAGGCAATCTCCCATAAAATATTTGCTGGTTTTGAGAAAAATCGGTGCAGAGTTCCATTCAGAAAAAGCAAATATTTTTATATAATGAACATGCACCAAAATGTATATAAACAATGGCACTACGATATATTAAACAGGCTTGGTCTAAAAATGGAATTATATGACCATGCTATATATAAAAATATACTGTGTCTCATACATATACTTATATATTACTTTATTACTGTACTTGTTTTCCCAATAACTGAGACCTTTGTGATCTTTAATGTATTTATCCTCCTATGGACCTCATGCCAAAGTTTCCAGCAGCTTTCAATTTTAATTGCTGAAGTGGCTTCACACCAGTGCAGTGGGAGAAGTTTCTCCTGTGTAGGTAGTTTGCTGAAAGCTTTAGGGCTTATGGGATCAAATTTATCCTATACATGTCAATCAGTTGTATTAGTGATGCAAACCTGCTGTCGGCAAATTTGTTGTTGCAACAGCTGATAGTTCTTTCCTTTGAAAGGAAACTCTTGATAACCTGCGAATCGTTTGTACACCACTGAATTATCACCACTACCGAAGGTCTCATGTGGAGCTGTAGTCACGATTGTGTACAGCTGTCCATTTCTGCAAATGGCACACTCACAGCATCGCATGTAAATGCTTTCAGCAGAATGAATTGCCCATCGGATTTAGTAGAAAGCCTCTGACACAGCCTAAATTGATCAGCTGTGCTCGTTTTATGCATGGAATGGATGGAGCCATAGCTTACACTGTCGCAATTATACCATGGGAACAAAACCAAAATAGCTGCTTTTGGAAGTTTGTTCAAGATTTGTCCCTCCTGGTAATGTTGAAAAATGAGACTCTTATGGTGGTGGGCAGGAATATCTGATGTTTGAGTACAGCTGAAAAATTTTAAACATGTGCTTGTGAAAGTAAAGCACAAATAGAACTGATTTGATTCAGCATAGCTCTGAAAAGTCACGTTTTGGTTCCTCACGCTTACTTTTCATACCATCTCTTTGTTGATGTGATGCTTGTTATCTTGTCCTGAAACTGTTTTTCAAATAGAGCAAATCACTACTTCGGTAGAAATTGCATGGTTTTTTTGTGTTTTGAAAACTAAAAGTCTAGACTAAGAGTTCCAATCATAATGTTACTAATTTACAAACATATATTCATTCCTCATCCTCAAGAAGAGTTTGTCCAATGACAAGAACTTCTGCATCCCACTATGTTAATCGCATACATGAATCACAGAAATGCGATGACATGTGAGGCTCTCCAAAAAATTTTAGATGACTTTTTAAACATCTTGCAAACTGAATCCCAGATTCTATATGGGAGGATGTCTGCACCCTGGAAAGTTTTGCTGACATCAGTGACAGTTCCTTCATATAGGGATGCTGCCAAAAGCAGTGGGGAGAAATAAAAAAAAAAGGTAGAGAAGAATAATAACTCTAACTATGTACTTGATCCCACAGGAGTCTTCATTTCTGTACTCAATACAATAATACCATCAGAAAGATGGCTATCAAGACAAATTGTACAGAAAACTTCAGGGCTGGAATACTTCCTAGGAACCAACAGAAAATCATTGGGGTATCTGAGGCAAATGTCAGTGCTAGTGCAGAGAAATATATTTGCCATTAAGCTCTGCTGACATTTTCTTTTTTAAGATCCTTTTTACAGTTGCTTCTTGTCTGGACAAGTGTCTGTCATTTGAGACTTGTGTTTTCCAAGGTGGTCATTTTGCTCAAGCTAACTTTGGTTTTTAAACTCCTCACTTTTAAGTTGCTTTTTCTAACTGAGGTGAAGAAGGAAATTGAGGAAACACACTGATTTTTCCATATGACAAAACATTTCTGAAGGCTGCTAGGCTGAAGGAGATTAATGCTTCCAGGATTTCAACAGTGACTTAACATTTGGCAGAAAGAATATATTGGTATCAGACAGATTCCTCCTCACAATCTTGTGAAAATTTTCCTTTGTTTGTCCAGTCTGAAAAACACGCACGTCTGAAAAATTAGTTTGCATGTACTGACGCGTTGTTTGGTTCCAGCTCCAAATACTAGCGTGACTTTCCTACACAGCAACAGAGTTTTAGGTACATATTGTTGTCTTTCAGAATATAAAATCCATAACACAACTGGTCTGCTCAGCTATTTCCTCTGTTGGCCCCAGGAGCCATGCATGGCACGGCTCAAATGTCCTTCTGGCTGTGAGGATAATTATGCTATGCAGTGTGGGACCTTGTGAGACCCTGTCCCCTTTGCTCACCGTGCTGCTCCTTTTGCACGGAGCTTCTGGGAGGTGAGGGAAGAAGAAGGATGTCCTGGGGGGGACAACATCTGCAGACCTCTAGGGGAAGAGAGGCTGGTCCAAGTGCAAGGGAGCTGAGGAAAAGGCATGGAAGGGAGAGGAAGGACCCATTTCAGGTGAGACAGAGAAAAGAGTAGCAATAGAGGCAGGACCTGAAGAGTGGAAAGTAGGAGTAAACAGGGGGTATAGCCACAGAGAAGTGCCTGCCATAGCCAAGTTTCAATGAGAAAACACCCCTGCTCCCCCTCAAAATCACCTGTGTAAAGTACTGCAGCTCCCTTAACCCCTTCTAATTTCTTTGAATCCTGTTTAGCATTAAATTCACCTCAAGCATGTCAAAGGCTGCTATAAATTCAAAGGTGTCAAGCCCTTTTGAAGATACATAGCATGCTTGTGAATGCTGCTCCACATGATAGAATGTTATTTCAGTATTACACCCCCAAAACTACAGGGAATCGGACACTACGGTTACAGAACTCTATGGTTAGAAGTGGAAGCCACCAAACTTGAGATTTACGGTACCTTTATTCACCACAGGATCCTGATTCACTCTCATATGCCATCTGTCTTGTGCACCAAGTCAGTCAGAGGTACGACGGGAGGAAAATAAAGAGTCTGTGATCACGCAGCAGCAGCACCATGTTGTGATGTATCACCTGCGCTGGGGTGCAGGCCAAGACGGCACGGGCAATTTTCATTCTGACATTTCCTCTCTTTCCGCTGCTTTACTTAGCAACAGTAAGCCTTTTTTCAGCATTTTCATGGGGCTTTAGGGGCACTCAGTGCAGTTGTACCTGCATGAACACAGGCAAGCTCCACACAAGTTCTGGACGTAGAATCATAGAATTTTCTAGGTTGGAAGGGAACTTTCAGATCACCGAGTCCAACCATCAACCTAACACTGCCCAAACCACCACTAAGACATGTCCCTCAGCCCCATGTCTGCCCATCTTTTAAATACCTCCAGGGATGGCAATTTCACCACTTCCCTGGGCAGCCTGTTCCAATGCTTGATAACCTTTTCTGTGAAGAAAATTTTCCTAATATCCAATCTGAACCTCCCCTGGTGCAACTTGAGGCCATTTCCTCTTGTCCTATTGCCTGTAACTTGGGAGAAGAGACATACCCCTGCCTGTCTACAACCTCCTTTCAAGTAATTGTAGAGAGCAATAAGGTCTTCCCTCAGCCTCCTTTTCTCCAGGCTAAACAACCCCAGCTCCCTCAGCCTCTCCTCATAAGACTTATTCTCCAGACCCATCACCAGCTTCGTTGCCCTTCTCTGGACCGGCTCCATCACCTCACTGTCTTTCCTGCAGTGAGGGGCCCAAAACTGGGCACAGTTATTTGAGGTGGGGCCTCCCGACTGAAACCACTGGTTTAATCGCCGTTTTCTCTTTCAATCAAGAGCTTTGAGAAGAAAACCCACGAAACGGAACCACGGAAGGTGACAAGATCTTCCGTCGACGGGTATCACCATTTTCTCGCCCCTCCACCCCCCCGTACCCGAGAGGTGTTCAGGACACACAGACATCACACACACAACCCCCCGCCTCAGCTTCTGAGGGACCCTTCAACGGCCGCCGCGCGAGCGCGAGCGCGCGCGCAGGGCGGTGGCAGCGGCGGGGGGGCGGAGTGGCGCGCGCCGGC